CTGATTTCCACCATCTTCGTTGCCTGATGCTCTCACAGCCCGATAAGCACTGCTGAAGTACTGAGCTGAAATGCTTCCTAAAATGACTAGCTGGAGATACAGATCATTAAACACCAAGGTCCCAATTTGGAAAAGCATCTATGCTTCGATTGGCACTGAAGTACACATTTTAAGTCCCATTGATAGTACTGGGTCTTGAGCATGGGTGTCGATGCTTTCCTGAGCTGACGTCCATCCCAGAAACATATGATTAATACAGTAGAAACCAGGATTAGGTTCTTTAGTCCCTGAGAAGATGAGGGTCTCTGAACAAGCTGGGGGAGATGCACAGCAAACAGCTGTGTGGGACCTCTGTGGTGCTGCAGCTTTTAAGTCAAAGGGAGCTGCTTCTAAATTGGCTCCAGTTGAGCAGAGAAGCAGCACCAGACAGAAATGACTCATAAACCTGATTGGAAACTGGTTTCAGGTCTGTAACACAAGTTTAGTGCACGTAAACTGCTTTCAAAGTGGCCGAAACCAGTTTAAGATTAAACCAGTTTCAGTAGCATTAGGCCAAGGCCCAATGCTCATCTCTGCTGAGGTCCCTTCCAACCCTAGCATCTATGGATGGATGCAGTATCAGACTTCACTGATTTAGATTAAATCGGTTTATTGAACTTCTGTCCCAGATCCCCTCCAGATTCAAATTAACGCACAGTCCCCCAGCATCCCAGGATGCTTTGCACCTCCCCCACAAACCCAGCCCTTGCAGGGTGGGTGGGCTAGCCTTGGCCCAAGCTGTCTGCTCCAGCGCAGCAGGGAGGTGAGCTCTAGCGTGCCCCGGCTTCTGGCCTGGGTCACCGCAAGCACGTGGCTGCATTTCCGGAATCAAAAGTGAATGTCTGTTCACTTGCTGATCGGTTCAATCTATGCAGCTTGGACTAATCTGCAAAGATTAAATCGATTCAGCCTTGAGCTTTTTGACGGTCTCTACTTCGCAACTGCTTTTAACTCCAAAACTAACAGCCGAGAGGCTCATCTGCCCCCTCAGCCACTGGCCGCAACTGAGCAGGTTGGGAATCATGCGGATACAAATGATATAATCATCAGGATTTACAGTGAAATATTTAACATGAGAGGAGGAGGAGCAATGAACTCTGCAAGCCAATGAACGTGTTATTGTTTTTAAAAAATCCCCAGGCAACCCAAGAAAGGCGGCAAACAGGCATCAGCAACCTACGACTCGGAGGAGGAGGAGGAGGGTCTGCCCATGACCTACGACGAGAAGCGCCAGCTCAGCTTGGACATCAACCGCCTACCGGGCGAGAAGCTGGGCAGGGTGGTGCACATCATCCAGTCACGGGAACCTTCCCTCAGGGACTCCAACCCCGACGAGATAGAGATAGATTTTGAAACCTTGAAGCCCACCACTTTGCGGGAACTGGAGAGATACGTGAAGTCTTGTTTACAGAAAAAACAAAGGAAACCGTTTTGTAAGTTCCCTCCCGCCGGCGCGAGGTCTGCACCGGCTCCGGCCTGGAGGTGCGGGGCTGCGTGTTAGGACCACTTGTCAAGCCGCGCGGCGGAGTGCTGATTTACTTGTCAGCCTTGTAACAGGGACTTTTAATTGTTTCTTTTTTCCCAATAGGCAGTGGCCAAGACCCCCTTACATTCACCCTTCCCAAGACCCCATTGCCATGAGGCTGCTCCTTATAACAGTTCTCCTTCCCTCTAAAACCCACGTGATGTTGGTTTTTTACAGTGCCTAGCAGGCACCAAGGAGTATGTTCCCTTAGTGAATGCATCCTGAAGAGTTCATAGTTTCATAGTAGGGTCGGAAGGGGCCTGAACAGACCATCAAGTCCGACCCCTGCCCTGGGCAGGAACGAGCGCTGGGATCATAATACCCCAGCCAGATATCTATCCAACCCGTGCTCTCTGTACCACAGGTCTCTGCCTGTTTTTAGTCACGGTGTTAAGCGACTTGCCTGAACCGGAGCATTTGGCAGAACCAGGAATTAAATTCAACCCCCACCAAGTTGTCCCGTAAGCACAATCCTCTTTTTCTTTGGGCCCTTTCTCCTGGTTCTGTCAGCTCATGGAGCAAACAGACGTGCTCGTGGGTGTCTTCGTGTTACAGGTCCTCCTCTGAAGCCTGGTCTCTGAAGAATTTGAATTGTTGCAGCGCCCGGCCACAGAGCTTTGAGTCATCATCTCAAGCTTGTTAACAGTTCATGCATTTAGCTCTGGACACCCCTGACTCAGTGGTCCAGTTCCTCTGCTAGGAATCGCCTGCAGAGGGATTCCACCTTATTGCTCAGGACTTCCAGAAAAGGCCTCAGTGAAACTGTTTTACTGGGAACTTGACATTTTTCTGTTGCTTTTTTTTTTTTTTTTTACTGACTCATTCACTGCTAGACCACTTCAGAGAGAGTTTCCAGAGCTGTTAGAGCATTTTTGTAACCAAGACATGCATTGCCACGAAAAACCTCAGCTCATCATTGCAGGTTTCTAAAGTTTCCTTCCCCTGAGCAAGCAGTTCAGATGATGTGAACACCTTGGGACAGAACAAATCTTTTCTGCACCTCTCCTGCTGCTTGAGACATTATGTTGCATAAGACCTCTCCCCCTCTTTTGGCTTATCCTTATTTTAAAACGGTGCAAGGAAGTTAGGCATTTCCTTGGTGGACCAAGCTAAGGCAGCGTATCCTCCTTGCATCTGATAGGAGCTAAGATCTGTGTTCAGCTGTGTGCTAAGGAGTGGTTTATATCCTCTTTACGCCCCGTTTATGCATGAAAAGATGGTTGACAGTGCCTCTAAGCATTACCATCCTAGCTAATGCAGCCACACGGTTGCCACCTATCCTTTTTGTCTCTCATATCATTCAGTATTTTTAATTTGGATTCTTGCCAAAATAGTCTATATATTGATGGCAGATGCCCTTGTCTGCCCCTTTTTAATCAGATAATTTATTTTTACAGGGCAGAAAACCCATGTAGTATAATTTTATAATGTAGAAAGATGCCTGTTTGACCATATACCTAGCCGGTAAGTAACCTGTAACTGCGAGGTTATTACGTGGATCGTTCTGTCATCTCAAAGTGTTGCAAAGAGATATTTTAAAGGCTGCATCTTACAGGGTGATTATTAGCCAAAAGTCTAGGCAACTTTGGGCATTGCGCTCTGCAAGGATATTTAATCGCTCTGTGGTCCTGTGATCTCTCAGCAGTGAACTACGCAGCAGTTGCCTAGATTTGCATGCCCTGGAAATAGCAATGTCCAGCCTTTTTCCCCCCCTCCCAAGTATGCAGTCTTAGAAATTGTGCCTTCCTCCTCCACAGCTGCGAGTGGGAAAAAGCAAGCAGCAAAGTCTAAAGAGGAGTTAGCTCAGGAAAAGAAGAAAGAGTTAGAAAAACGGTTACAGGATGTCAGCGGGCAGCTAAACAACAACAAGAAACCTGCTAAAAAAGGTAACCGGCCACATTTCTATTGGCTTTTCATACTGAGTTTCCCTCCACCCCCCTGGCAATGAATCCTTTACTAATGCTGAATGTCTGCATGCATGTCTACAGTTGCATAGGGATAGAAAATCAGTGGTTTTGTGGAGATAACTTTCGGATTGGAAAATGTATTAAAAAAAAAAAAAAAGAGAGAGAGAGATGCTCTGCAGAAGTCCTATGCTTTGTTAACCTTGAGGCTGTCCATATGAGAAGTGTATCTCTGTAAATCAGGACACGGTTGCAAAGTGGTTTGGATAGGGCAGTGAAAAAAATTGTGCAGATGCTTTTATTACAATTACTGGGTGCGTCTACATGTGGGCTTTAAGGTGCATTAAAGCATCAGAAAAAAAACGCGCTTTCGCTAATGTGCATTAAAATAGGCTAAAATTTAGTACCTCACAATGGAGGAACTAAATTTAATGCACATTAGCACAAGTGCATTAATGAGTGTGTACACACGCCCAGGTTTAACTAGACCTCTGCAGCCCGCCAATGTAGGGAAGACCTCTGGGTAGTTTTTGATTCTCTCCACTGTTTGATATTGCATCTGGGCTGAGGAAAGAACCTGTGGTATTTCTGATTATCACAAATGTATGTTGGTGATGGAAACGCACTATCCCGGCACACCACCTTCATACCCCTGGGCTGACTTCTCAAGGGAGTGCTGGATCCTAGTCCGGGGGGGCGGTGGGGAAATCTCCACCTGAGTGTTTCCTAGCATGCTCCATGTGACAAATTACTTGGGCATCAATACTTTGAAGGAGAGCAGGCATCTGAATATTAGAGGTTGTCCAGACTGAGGTCCACTCGATCAGCATCACCCACTTCGGGGCTAAGCGAGGTTGATGGGTGCTCGGACCATCCAGCGCAAACCAAGCTGAGAATCCAGCTTGCCTCACCTTGGTGGGGGGAAGCAGGGGCGCTGCTGATCATTTCCAATGACTGGCTGCACAGCCTCCTTTTAAGACCCGCTGCCACCTTTCCAAGGTGTTGGCCGTTGTCCCAGTTTACCAAGAGGGCACAGGGATCGCACAGGGACTGCACAGCCCCAAAGATGCGGGGGCAGAGGGGAGGGTGGGAGATGAAGAATGCTTTCCCGGTTCTGACATCCAGCCTTTTTCCCCGCTAGAAAAATCGGGCTCTGCTCCCTCCGGAGGCCCTTCCCGTCTCAGCAGCAGCAGCTCCTCAGAATCCGGAACCAGCAGCTCGAGCGGCTCCAGTTCGGACAGCAGCGATTCGGAGTGAATGACGGACACTTAAGAAAACAAAACCCATGGACACGGCCCACACCAATACACTGCAGTGTTCCCTTCTCTGGTTAACATACTGCTCTTGTACCACGGTGGTCAGGTTTTTTTCTCTCTTTTTTTTTTTTTTTAATTTTTTTCCCCTTTAAATCATCATTATAAAATATCTTCCCTTCCCCCCTTCCTCCCCCCGCCACACCCCTTGCTTTTTAATAGATCAAAGATCCTTTTACGCACGCGTGCGTGTGACACTAGACTTTACGACGAGTCGGTCACTCGGCGTAAAGTCTCTAAATATTTTTTAACTGAGAACGGTCACTTGGAAGTGACTACAACTTTGAACTCCTGACGCGAGGTCCATTGAGAAATCAGCAAGGTGTAGTATACAGGGTTTTTTTTAGTTGTTGCTTTTATTTTCTTTTAATTTTTTTTGGTTGATTTTCGTTTGTTCTGTTTGGCAAAGTTCTCGTTGAATGCACCCCAGCCTGGCTCACTACGTCACAAGGAAAAAAAACATATTTTTTTTTTTTAAAAAGAGAAATCTCTGTAAAATGGTACTGTATCTGAAAGATGTTAGCTTTTGAACTAGTTGGTGTATTTGTTATTAGCACTAGTATTCTTAATCTCCAAGTCTACAGTGTGATGAAAATGTCAGACGCTATCATCTTTTTACATGGAAAAAAAAACCTCATGTACTGTGGATTGTTAAAATGTATTTTTTTTTTTTTTTGTTGGGGAGGGATATAGAGGCTTAGGCATCAAATCAGGAAGGCATTTAAGCATGTGCTGAGCTTTTGAACACTTGAGCAGCTGATCTGGTTGGATTTTTTTTTTTTTTTTTTCCTGCCTTGAAAAGTCCCGTGTTTTCTATGGTGGTAGGGAAGGAAATAATATTTTTGATGGGGTTTTTTTGTTCGTTTGTTTTTTACTGGAAAAAAAGAAAAACCCTTTTCAAGGAAAGGCAGCGAACTGCTTGCAAACGGTCGTTTCACCAAAACCCAGGTTCCCGTTGCAAAGTTTATAAGCAATTGTAGCAGCCCATACATGACTATAGCAGCGAACAATACAACTCATGTGCTCAAAATCAGACATATGCTTAAATACCTTCTCCAAATCAGGGGCCTTAGACTGGGTTTTATAATGGGGGCGTTACAGCTTCAGCCCAGGCTAAGCCACTCGGGGAATTGGGGAGGGATGTCAAATTCTTTTTTTTTTTTTTTTTTTTTTCCTATCTTTTTATCGGCAACAAGCTCCTGGGAGGGAACGCTATACTTCTGTGTCGTGCAGGGTGCAGGTTTCCAAACACTGAAACTTTTACCTCAAGGGAAAAAAGAAAAAAACTAAAAAAAAAGAAGAAAAAAAAAAAAAAAAACAAAAAAAAAAAAAAAAAAAAAAGCGGGGGTGGGAGGGGAGAAAAAGAAGAAAAGAAAAAAAAAATTTGTAAGGCTCAGCAATTTTCTATGAGAGCCCAGCCTAATGTTTTGACCTGCACTGCTGCAAAACACACACTCCATTAACACTGTCCCTTATTCCTGTATATATAAATACTTTATTTATTAACACCATTGGTCATTTTAAACAAAAATCAAACAAAAAAAAAGCCTGCATTATGAAGAACAGCAGAAATGCAGATTTTTTTTTTTTTTTTTTTAAATGGTTTGAACCAGACTAGGGGAAGAAAAAAAATCTGAGACCTTATTTAAATGTATTGGATTTTTTTATCTACAGGTGCTACAGCCCGTTACTTCCTGTCTCGGCGCTCTGTCATGTCTTGTGTATTCAGTTTTTGGTTTGTTTCTCTCTCTCTCTGTGTTTCTCTTTTCTTTTTGTACAGAATTTGGAGATTTACAGGTATAGAGGATTTCCAGATGCAGCACATTTTTTATTTTATCTATAATTTTTTCCACGGTTATTTTTCTCGCTCTCTCTCTTTTATAGAACACTTTTTAAAATCCCATTTGAGGGAAACCCCGGTTCTATTAATATACGCTTTGTAATCCGAGGGGCAGAAATTTATTGTAAATTTCTTCATTTTTAAACTTTTTATTGTAAAGAAAAAAAAAATATACGGAGTTTAACAGAAGGCTATACTTTTCTTATCCCCACTGTCAGCCCCTTGAGGCGACCTCAATGCCTTGAGCTTGGGGAAGCCCCGAGACTTGGCCAGCCAAGGGCCACGTTAGCAACTTGCCATGAGCCTCACGCGGTGCAGATTGCATTTGCTTGCAGTCTATAATAGAGAGATACAGGGCAGGAGGACTGCACTTCTCAGCATGCCATATTCAGTCTCAGCAGGCTCAGATTCATACCACTCCAGAGGGGATTTGGCATGCCCGGGACAGGTGGGTCCAGCGGCTTGCCCCTCTGAAGTTAGGGGAGCCACGAGCCAAGCTATCGGGTCACCATGGCTTGCACTTTTTTATTGCTTCCAAGCTGAATGAATTTCCATGTGATGACATTTTATCTCATAGGTCTTTAGAGGATAGTCAATCAGAGATGAAATTAGGTGGCTGCCGCTGCTTGTATCTGTCTGTGAAATCCATCTTTTGAATGTCAGTCAACATTTCAGGAAAGAGGTGTGGAACGATGGGGTATCTATATGCGACTCTAATACAGCCCGAGCTGCTCTGTGTATGTCTTTTAATTGTAAAGTTATAAACTCCTACACAGAATCTGCCAATGCCCTGGGAAGGCATCGTCATACGGTGCCAGAGGAAGAGACAGAAATGAAAATGGACTCGATCCTTTGAGGCACCAAGTGCCTCTCCTACGATGCTCGCCATCCCTCAGTTCACACTGAAATCAGTGGACCCCAGGCCCTTTTGCTGTAGATGTATCGGCCTGTTTGGTCCCAAAGCATTTGAAAGAAACGGACAGACTAGAATAGCTTGCATTTTACCGAAATTAATGCTTTACCTTTTGCTTTTCTATTCAAAATTTCTAACCAGAGTTTAATTTTAATTTCTATATATTTTTTAAAAAGCACTGCCATTTGTTGTTGTTGGGTTTTTTGTTTTTTTTTAAAGTCTTTACCCAAACAGATCCTTAGTAATCTATTTTTAAAAGTTACTAGGAAGAAATCTAATATACCCATGATCAGGGCTTAGATCATTTTTAAGGGTGGGCTTGTTTGTGTTTTGTCGTAACGTTAGATTTACAGTCGCTGGAACAGAACAGTGTTTGGTTTTGTTTGGGGTTTTTTTAACTAGATATAAGCAATCCGATGCCAACCTGGAATAAACCCTGGACAGAAGCTAGCACTCCTCCAAACAAAAATCCTCCCCGATGTGTATTCCTCTGGGGTCTAGCTGATAACGTCGTGTGGAGTTCACTCGGGGTGACATTCCCTCCTATGTCGAGAGCCAGAACATGTCCTGTTCACTACTCGGTCCCTATTTTGAGGATATAAGTGATGGATAAGGTTTGTAATAGCTGTTCATCCAGTTGTTTTGCTTCTACCCCCTCCCTCCCCCTACTGCAAAAAAAATCTGTACAGTATTTATGCTTTGAGGTCAAAGGACCCCGGCGAAGTCAGCGGCTGAATTGGTGATGGCCACTACGAGATCATAGATGCATTCCCTTGGGTGCTAATGGGTCTGATTCAAAGCCTGTTAAGTTCAGGGGACTTTGGATCAGATGTCAAGTGATCCATGGGGACTTGACCTGGTGTCCAACCCTGTTCCCATGGAATCCATTGGAGTTCATTCACCGTCACGGGAGGCTAAATTTGGGCCAGGGGACCAGATCCTTAGCAGCTGTAAATCGCCATCAGTGGTGATTTACATCACTGGTGGCAATTTGTCATTTTACCTCTGAAAGAAAACGAATGAAAAACCAGGCGGGAAAGGACTTGATCATCTGAAATCAAATGGTTCCCATGTGATGGGAAATTTCTCCATTGGGTTTCATCTGTTTAGTTTTAAACCTGAACCCAAACAAAATCTGTTTGACGTTTTGGATGAAATGGCAATTTCAGACTTGCAAAACATCAGTGGTTAGGAAATTTTGAAATTCCATTTCAGACCTACGTTTGCACACGTTTTATATTTTTCGTGCTTTTGCATTATTTCATGAAATGTCAGTGATGGTGCATCTTATATTTGCTAGATCAAAGTGTCTCCGGAAAGGAAGGTACGTTTCATTCAGTACTGCGTAGCAGGTATCTTTTAATATGTTCTAAATAAAGTATTTCAGCTATCATATTGCATCGTGACATGTCAGTATTAGTAGCGCACCTCATGAAATAGTGTAAAACTAGGAAAAATAAAGCCAATTCCAAAACAGGATTTTGAAATTTAGCAAATAGACAATTTCCCACAAGAAAAAAAAAATGTAATTTGGATCGTCTTCCATGACAAAATTTATCCAAACAATTCAAATATCCCAAAAATTCCAGTTTCAGAGAAACAGGGTTTTTCTGTTGTTGGTTTTTTGAAAACCTCTTTCGTCAAAAGTTATCTGACCGGCATTGGTTCATCATTTTAATTGATCACAAATTTAGCCTATTTCTTGGTCTACCTTTAAGAGTCTAATGGGAGCAGAGGGAAATCAGGATCCCATGGCAGCAGACCCTGCTTCATCTAGAAAAATAATCTGTCAACTCTGAATTTTTTTTTACTGAGGAGATCCAGTTAATACAGATCTGTATGGCTGGGATTTTACCCTTTGCAACTAATAGGGTTTGAAACTATAGAACTGATTTTAGACCTGTTAAAAGGTATATGTATCTATACATGCACCTGGGTCTGTGTGTGTGTATATATAAAAATGAATGACCCATTTGTTTAGTCCTTTTCCATGTTCTCTATTTGGTAAAAATCAGACGGCGGTTATTTTAATCTAGTTTTTCTCTGCTTTTGGGACTCGTAGACCAGTTTTTAATTATTTCCTTGTTTTTGAAAGGAAAGATGTTTTCTAAGGGTGGGGTTGGAGCTGGGGGAGAGGGTTGGGAGAAGACAAAAAAAAATAAAACCTTTTTAGTACTGGCTTTTAAAAAAAACACATTCTAAAAATCAAACGGTGCTTCTCTAGGGCAGGCTCTGAGTTGCAGGAAATTAATGTAGAGCGAGAACTCAAGACACTAGCTAGCAGCGTTCCTTTGCTTGTAGAACAGCACGAGGCTTTTTTTAAAATGGGATTTCAGTATCTTTTCAAAAAGACCATTTTTTTAAAAAAAAATTAAGAAAACAACCCACCAGCTAGAACTCGACACCAGGCCATTTTAGAACTTATTCCCTGTTACCGGCATAACAATTCCAGAAAGATTTGTTTGTTGGTTTTTCCTTTTTTTTTTTTTTTTTTTTTATATTTAAAAAAATGTTACTTTTCTGTATGATGTGCATGCAACTTTACCGTAACTCTTTTTCTTAAAACTTTTTAGTGCCATTTCTAGTATATTCCTGTAAATGTCAGTTACTGAAAAACGAGTCAATGTAAGTAGTTTTAGCTTGTTTATTGCAAATGCTGGCCTCGACACAACAGAATTAAAAAAAAAAAAAAAAAGTTAGAAAGTAATCTTTGATGTTACTGGTAATCATGGACCCCATTCCCGGGGCATTTGTTTTGTTTTCATAATAAAAAAAAAAAAGTGCTGGCCTGTACCACTCGAAACATTTCTTTCCCTTCCCCTCCCTAGTTCCCTGAAGCTGTGGACAGCTGTAACTTTCATAGCACTTTTAAAGTGGTATAAACACCTTTATGCTGCTATAAACGGTGAGTGGACAAGCATGCGTGCTCACTAAGCCACTACCAAACTGGCTGAAAGCGTGCTGGGAAAAATCAGGTATTACTTTGTGCTGTTATTTGCCAAATGATGTCTGTACACTTGTCACATTTGTCTATGACAAGGAGCCCAGTTGGTCCTCCAGGTATCCCACAATGCAATGTTTCTCTCCTCCCTCCCCACTCCAATCCCACAAATGGCTACAAGCTGCTGCTCGGTGACTAGAGCCAAACTCTCGTGCTCCGGGATCATATGTCACACGCAAGTCCAATTGTTCGGGGCCCTCTTTTAGCAACCCCCTTCAGTCGAGTCGACAGTTCTCCAAGTTAAAACTGTCAGGGCCATGTCTTCGGTGCCCAAACTAATGTTTGCTTGTTTTTAATAGCAAAATAATTAATAGGGTTCGTTATCTCACTGGGACCTACTGGAGACGAGGCACAGGCAGTTTCCACCTTGGTATAACAAGGTGAGATCAATGCAATGCCCGTGGCCAGCCTTGCCTGCCTGGATTGCCGTGAAAGCTGCAGGTTTGGTCTCCGCCAGGCATTTACAGATCCTAACATGCATTAGGAGCATGGGTACACACACTGAGAGGGAATGGGAACATGCAACGTTTTATCCCGGAGTAAATGAAAATTGCCTAACGGTGCCCAGCCCACTTTGAACCAGCCCAAACCCAACCCCATCCGATGATTTTACCAATGCTGGCCCCACTTTTGAATAGCAACAGCTGCAGTATCGGTTGGCCTGGTCTGTTATGCGGTAATATGGACTGTGGCTGCAGAAGTCCTTCTGGCCCCAAAACAGGTGAGTGCTTTTCTCCGATCATTTTGAAATGCGCAGTCAGTGGCAGGGTGGGACATCAGTAACTCTAGCCACCTGCCTTCAGTTAAGGGGGTTATCAATATCTAGTGACTGAAAGAATCGGTATTGGAAACCAAGCACCTAGCTAGCGGCTAAATCTGGTTTGCCTGTTGGTAACTCTGCTATGGCCATATGAATTTCCTTGACACAATGGGACTTTTTTAGATCTTATTTTCAGGCATTTAAATACCATAAGAATAAGCATAGTGGGGTTCTGCAAGAGTTTGTTCCCCATCCACATTTCCACCCAGTGGCTTAAAAGACCTTGGTCCATCTGCAGGTGAAGACATTAAAGAGGACACAGGCCTTATCCTTTCCTCCCTTGATTTTTATTGAATAACTGCTTGTTATTTGGAAAATGTGTGTTATTGTTGGTTGTTATTCAGTTCACACACTTTCTGGGAGGAAGCCTGTGTAGACTCTTCCCTTCTGATGCAGGAGAGCTGCTCCCATGCCATGGGATAAGCTGTCAAAGTCCTAACATTAGCCACATCCAGGGCTCAATCCTGCCAGCTGCTGAGCGCTCTGGCTCTGACCCAGCTGGGCGTCTAAGCACTTAACATTAAGCCCATGAGTATTTTGACTGAGGTCAAAATTGAACATTCCCATCTATAAACTTAGGACTTGAGGAAAAGAAAGGGGGTTTTAAAAGCTGTAGCTGTTTCTTTGGACAATGACTCCCAAAAGGGTGCCCTGCTCATAGGTTTGAAGCATGTCCGTACACGCTGTCCTGGAGGAAGCCTGTAGACTGATGGGACAGAACATTTTCTGCTGCAGGGAGGTGTCAGATGCCTATCGTACAAATGCGGCATACAAGCCCAGAGCCTGAAGAGAGCTTCCCAACACTTGTCAGACAACCTCAGTCAGTGCCCAGCTGAGTGACAGCGACAAGATTCAAGTTGTCCTAGTTACAGACAGTCGATTGTAGAACATAATGTCTGATGCATCCCTTCAACGACAGACTCAGTCCATGTTCCCCTGGCCTGCTGTGCCTAGGAAGCAGCGGTGGAATTGCAGTGGGTTGGATTTCACTACATCAGCTCTTTGGAGGATGTCAGTTGTAGCTCCATTGACTACAATGGGGCTCTGCCTCCTTACCCTGGTGCAGGACCTGGCTCTTTGTGCCTGCCGATGGCTCGAAGGACATATGTCCCTCATGTCTGCTCTCACGCAGAGCTGGCAGTGTTGATGCCTGTACCTTCCTCTGAGTTGTTTCTCCGCATGTCACTATTATGATTCTTTCTGCAGACTATGAGAGGGGTCGGTGATGGGC